GCACTTTTGAGCTTAACTTGATGAGAATCATTCTGAAAACTTGGTAAAATAGCAAATTAGATGCAACCATTTGTGCAGCACTTATAAAACGGTTTTAAAACCAATTCTTGAATTATGATTCCATGTTAAAAACATTTTCCGAGGCAGAGTGGACTGCTACACTTTCGTATGTGTCGGACGGACTTAGGATAAATGGCCAATCAAGAGTGCTATTCTAATGCTAAACAACAAAGGAACACATCTATAAGAGAAAGGAAAGAGTAATCCTCTTTGACAAAAACTTGCGCAATCAAAATCGAGTAGAAGTTCACTTATCATCTTTGATCACTTGTTCACTATGACAAATCACCCATAACAATTAATCTTAACGCGAAATTCCATTATTTCTGCTACCACTAACCCAGACCGCTTCTAATGTGAACAGTAATTTGTTGTTTACCCCTCTGGCATCGCCATTATGTTGATTGTCGACTGTGGATTTGACTTTGAATCGCCAATCATACTAAGCGCTACACATCGCGCATATTAATTTTTGAAGAAATTTTTGAAGCAAATCACTTACATGTATGACTGCATTAAAGTTGTTGTTTTGAACGTCCTTGCAGCAGAAGTTTACTTTTTGGGAAAGTGAAATATGGGTGGACTGAAAAGGTGGCTTTCAAAATTGAAAAAGGTGTAGCGTTAGGCCTGGGGCATACTTCGCGCGATTTCAATCGCGTGCGATTTGGCAAATCGCCAGTCAGATTCAATGAAACACCAGCACAATATAAATGCAGAGTGTGTATAGCTTTCGCAGATTGATAAAATGCCCTAACTTTTAAAAATCAGAATGCGCTTACGATGAGTTGTAAACAATTGGATATTGCCAAATCGGGTCGCGACCAAAATCGCTTGAAGTATGTCCTGGGGCTGAAGTAACTCACCCTTTGTGACACGTGGGTAGTATCGTTTTTCAAAGCCGAAGCCCTCACCCTCTAACGAGTTCAGAGCCCTTTTGTCAAATCCAAAACCTTCGCCTTCGATGGAATTCAACGAGCGTTTATCGAAGCCAAAACCTTCGCCCTCAAGCGAATTCAGCGATCGTTTGTCGAATCCGAAACCCTCGCCTTCGATGGAGTTTAGCGACCTCTTGTTAAACCCGAATCCGGTCCCGTCAAGCGAATCCAACGCTCGTTTGTCGAATCCGAAGCCTTCACCTTCCAATGAATTGAGCGATCTCTTGTCGAAGCCGAAACCCGTGCCGTCGAGGGAATTCAACGAACGTTTGTCGAAGCCGAAGCCAGTTCCATCCAGTGAGTTTAGTGACCTTTTATCGAATCCGAATCCTGCACCTTCCAAGTCATCCAGAGCCCTCTTCTTCTTCTTGTAAAAGCCAAATCCGGTACCTTCTATACTGTCGAGCGAACGCTTTGTGCGACCTGGAACGAGTACCTTCGTCGGATGGGTCCCGACGCACATTGCGCAGGGTTAGCTTGCAGGATAACTCACCCGCTTGTCTGTCGAGACCACCGAAACCAGTACCTTCAAGTTCATCTAACGCATGCGGAATGTGCTTCGATTCTGTCAGAGCACAGATGAGCTGCGTGCAGCCGAATAATAACTGAAAACTGTTGATCTAGTTCATATACAAGCATAGTAGAACTTGAACAAACTAAGGCTCAAAAAACTCTCGTTTTGAGATCTACTCTAAGCGAGAAACGTATTATTATGATATTATGCACATCACTATAGATATTTAGACTAAAAGCTTACCACGAAACGAGCCAGAGAAAACAGCATGTGGGGGTACCCGATGTCGAGTAATCACTGAAGCGATAATATGCACTTATATACGAAAAACACACAAAAGACTCTTCTGAAGACGTCACACACGGGGGAAGAGGACAATCTCGTGATTATGAAAATATTGAAAATTCTGTTAAGGTCACTGGAGACGATTCAAGAGAATTGAATGGGCCACAGGTGGCGATGGTGCAATTAAGATGGTATTCAGAAAAATTTGAATATGAGTCGTTTGGCTTTTGAGGATTAAAGGACAATAGGTTTTAATCAAATGGATGGCGTGAGGAT